CACCCGCCTCCTGCCCACACCCCTCCCGTCGCATGTGGTGAGAGTGGCCCCAGCCCGGCTCCGAGTCGCCCGGCACAGGAGTCTGTTGACAAACAGGCTCCCTCTGGTCACCTTCCTGCTCAACCGCCTCCCCAGGCTCCTCAGCACACCTTGTGCCTGCGGCTGGCCCAGGCCTCCCGGCCCAAGGCCTGGCCCACTCCCCGCCTCCTCCTCTCCATCCCTGCTGGCCCCGTGCCCGCACCCGCCCGCCAGGGCTGATGTTTGCAGGCTGCCCCTCTGAGCCACCTCCTCTGCCTGTGGCCTAGGCAGGCGCCTCTGTCCTGCTCGTCCCCTGCCCGCGCTCCGGGCTTTGGGAACTCGAACTCTCGCTCCACAACTGGCTCCCCTCTGGGCTGGATGGTCCATCAGACCAGGCGGCAGGCCCCAGCCCTGCCGTGCCCTCAGCCCCAGCCCGGCGCCCACACTAAATGTGACATGATGACAATACATTCTGAAGTCCACCCAGGGTGCTGAGTACAGCAAGGGCTGCTCTGGAGGGTGGCACTGGGGAGGGGCCCTGGCCAGGGAGGGTCTGGCAGGGGAATACTGCCCTGGCCCTTCCTGCCACCTGCCCTGAGCGGGTGGGGGCTCCCCGTCTGGTTTGGCAGGATTGCCGTGGACTGGCACTTAGCCTGCAGAACAGCCCTCCTGACCCCTGTGGCCGGGTTACCTGGGAGAGGCCTGGGAGTTCCGGGCCCAGCAGGTCTGGCTGAGCCTCTCCCTGGGCTCAGAGACATCCCTCGGGCTCCCTGGCCTTCCCTGCAGGAGTCACACCCCAACAGCAGCCACCCGGTGCCTCCCCTGTGCAGACTCTGCCTGGTGGGGCTTGGTGGGGGGGAGCGTGGGGGGGCAGCAGTGAGCTGCATGGGAAGAATGGGATCCCCATTTCTGTGGCTGCCGTGGGGGGGCATGTGGTCTCTGGGAAGAGTTCCGCCCTCACTGGCATCCCCAGCCTGAGACAAGGACCTGGTGCATGTGGCTGACATGGAAGTGACCCCCAAACGCCCACAGTGGGCGCCGGAGCTCCCTCCCAGCAGGACGCCCCCTGAGGCAGCCCTGGGCTCCCACCACCAGCCAGCTGGCCACCCTCCCAGAGGCATGGGCTGTGGGCTGTTCAGGTTGAGGGTGATGGGGTTACTTCTGTGGTTACCCCTGGGGCTCAGTGTGTCCCAGAAAAAACCCTCCCAGGGGAAGGCCTGGGCAGCTCTATGGCAGCTTCTGCTCCAACCTGAGAGCCCCTGCGGAGTCGGCTGAAGAACGGTGGTTTCCACAGCGAGTCTCCCTCTTCCCTCCACTCCACCACCGCCACACGAGCATGTGTGCTTTGGAGGGACACCCAGCTGGTCCCAGGGAAACCCAGAGTAAAGGTCTGTCCCTCCGGCGCACGTGGACTGCAAGGGCCGGAGCCTTGTGCCTCAGATCCCACCACACTGGGCTCCCCTGCCAGGCCGGTGTCCAGGGCCCCTGCACCCTGGCAGCCCTCCCAGCCCAAGGCCTGTCTTGCTTCCTTCCCGTTGCCTGGGGTGCACTTTGCCCTGTTGTTTCCATTGGGCAGGAACGGTCTCCTGACCGACAGCCCTCCACGCCGGGACACGGCCCCTGCCCCTGCCCCCTGGCCCCCTGGCCCTGCTCAGCAGTTACCGGGGCTGGACCTCAGATGGGGCAGCCGCTTGGTGCCAAGTGGGCTGTCTGCGTGCGGTGCCAGCCGCTCAGGGGTCTTTGCTGAACAAACGGACAGGCGTTCAGCAGTGACCTCTACAGGAGCCCAGGCCACAGGTGTCCCTCACCAGGTGCAAGCATCTCCTTGGCACAGGGCTCCTCCATCCACGGGGGCGACTGGTCCCCACATCCCGGAGGTGCCCCTGGCTCTGCCCTCTGCTGTTCTAGGACATAACCATCAAGGCGATGTGCTGTCCACGTTCCCAGAGCCAGCAGCACAGAAGCTCTTGGGCCAGGCAGTGCCATCACTTCCCAAATGAAGGGTGGGAGCGTGGGCCGGACGTGAGGACAGGGCAGCGGAGGCCGCACGTGCTTGGCAGGTCACCAGTCACTTGGGGCAGGCGCGGGAGACGGCTGTGAAGAAAGCAGTGTCCCGGGGGGAGGCGGGAGGAGACCCTGGGCCCTGACCTGGTGAGGAGGCATCACCTCAAGGCCCCGAAGCCACTGAAATCCACTCCGTAGGTTAAGTCAAAACCAAGCCGGGCTTGGGAGAACGCCATCAGCTCACAGAAGCAGAGCAAGCGAAGACCCGGGCGTCACGAAGGCCGGCCCCGGCCACAAGATCAGTAAGAAAACTCACGTCAGCCTTGGGACCAACGTCCCCCTGCTTCGTCCTCTAGACACTTGGCTGAAGCCTCAGATTTTCTCCATCTGCAAAGCCCTGCAAGCCAATAAGAGACGTAAAGCTGCAATAGAAAATGCACAAGAGCACGCACAGGCAGCCAGCCCCCGGGACAAGAAATGCAAGTGACTCTTACACTAATGAAAGTGTGTTTAGTCTTATTCAACATAGAAATGCAAATGGAAACTCCAGTCCAAGCCCACTTTTCACCTGTCGGACTGGCAGTGACCCAGAGCTGCCATCCTGCTGTGTGGGTGGGTCTGAGAGCAGGTCCCACATATGCTATTGGCCCAACAGCTGCCATCAGAAATGTCTGAATGCACATGCCTGCTCCAAGTTGCAGTGTGCATCTCATCACGGACACATCGGGCAAACACAGAGTAGGGACATTGGAACACAAAGCAACTGTCTATACTTGTTAAAAATTAAGATTATGAAAAGCAAAGAAATGCTGAGGAACTATTCCAGCAGGCAGGGCGTGGGCCTGGTTGGGTGGGAGGTGTGTGCGCGGGGCGGGTTTAAGGATGTGATTGGGACATGTGGCAAAATGGTAATAGGGACTGCGCACTAGACAGATTCAGGGCAAGTTTCTGAATTTCATCACCGTCCTGTGGCTGAGAGGGTGCCTTTGATTCCAGGGTCTTAGGAAGTCACATGGAATAGCTGGGGTGAGGGCCTGAGGTCTGCCGTCTACTCACAAATTGTTCAGAAAACAACTTTATAAACATATATAATAGATCCTGATGTGTAATTATAACATCACATATGACATATCTATCATGTATAATATGTGATATATTGTCACGAAGGGTGAGAGAGAAAATAAATGTGATGAAATGTTAACCATGAGTGACTCCAGGTGAAGTGTATACAGAAGCTCTTTTTTTAGTTCTTGTGAACTTTCTGTAGGTTTGAGGTTATTTCAGGATAGAAAAGGGTAAAAGAGACCTGCACACAGAACTCAGCAGTGCACAGGCCCGTGCGGAGCGGGCTCGCCTCCCTGGGCCCCGCCGTGTGGGCTCGGGCGTCAGCCACGCTCAGTGGCCCACGGGCAATCCACACCCGCCCTTTTGTATCCTGCCCTTTGTGTAACATTATAACATGAGCATTTTTCTGTTACAAAAACGTCTTCCAAAACTTCTTTTAATGGCTTCCTGGTAGTACTCCCAGGATTCCGTTTTTTGGAACTTGCGTATTTTCCTGCTTTTTCATCCTATAAACAATGCTGTGCCGGGCACCTTGTGTGCATCTCTGCTGCTCCTGGCTGGTCTCTTCCGGAAGATTCTGTGGAGGGAGGCTGGAGGGAGGCTGCGGAGGGAGGCCGGCTGGCTGCAGAGGCATCCTGCAGGCCCTGCCCAGCAGCATTCCGCATTCCAGAGAGGTCGGCCCCAGGCGCGCCCACCCGCCAGCGCTGCTCCGCTCCCTGGCAAGCCTGGCATTATTACACATCCTCAAAACATCTGCCAGCCAAGATGTTCCCACGGGCCTGGCTGTTTGGTCTGATCACGGATGTATCCATTTTTGTTGTTGTCCTGAGCATGGTCTGTTCCTCTGCCATTTCCTTGGTCTGTCCCTGTGCTCCTGGCCCATTGGTCGTTCCTTGGGAGCGGTGGCAGGGAGAGCAGGCAGCGGGCTCCTGCTCGGGCTCCGCCACCGAGGCCGCACTCTGGGTCTGCACCCGGCGGGCTGCTCCCCTCAGTCTCCACTTCCTCTCAGGGAAAGGGTTGTAGCAGGTGGTGAGCTAATCCACGCGAGGTGCTCAGGACCACGCACCACACACGCGGAGCTAAAGAAAGGCCCCGTGGTTGGTGCAGGAAGGAAACCGGCGCTCCCCTGCACGCTGCCCATTGCTTCCGCCCAGACCTGCAAGCTTTGCTCAGCCAAGCAGGCAGCTCCGCGCGGAGCTGGGTGAAGAGCCAAGGAATTCGGTGTTCGCTGAAGCCTGGGAAGGAATGGCCACTCTCACAGCCGTTCTCAGAGCCGTAAGGGCAGCCGGCTTGGCTCCTAATCAAAACCCAAAGAGAAGATTTCACAACTTCTTAGAGCTGCCGCCCAGCATCCCGGCGGGTCAGGGAGGGACGTGAGGACTGACCCAGTGCCTGCCTGCTCTCCTGGCATCTCCAGTCCCCGCAGTGCAGGCAGCAGGGACTTTCATCCCAAAGACAGCCTGCTGTCACCACAGGCAGCTAGACATTAACCAGCCAGGAGGCAAAGGCAGCCAGACGTCGTTAAGCCTGGGCAGCGGCACCAACACCCTCCAGTACCAGGCTGGGGGGCAGGGGTGAGCACACGTGCGGTAGAGGTCAGGATGGCACAGGCGAGGTGCTAGACCACAGAGGCCTGTCAGTCCAACCTGGGAAAGGACCCATTAGAAGCCTGCACATCCGGGGGAGTTGATTGGTTCTTTGGGGAAAGCTCCTGTTCCTCCCAAGCCCGAGATGATTAACCCCGAGGAACAAGGAGAGCTCGCTGTGCTGGTGACCTGCTTGCCCTGTGCCCTCCAGCGTCTTCCTCCATAACAGCGGCCACGCGGACGCCCAGCACAGGTCCAGGCGGGCTGGAGCCCCAGCACCGCAGTGGGTTGCCGCCGGATCACGAGCTGAGCCAGCGGGAGGTGGGGGTGGGGGCGGGGGAGAGAAAGGC